TTATGGATGTCCCGAAAGAAATGGTAAAGTTTGGTAAAACGATATCGGACAAGAGAAATCGGCTACGTGAGTTTTCATCTGCAAAATATGGCAAAATCTCACCGACATCGGCTAGAACCTGTAAGCATTGACATCCCAGTTAACATGTTCTTAATGGTTCGCAAATCAATTCGATCGGAAAAGGACAAGAAATCGTCGGGAAAAAGACGGCACCTGCTGTTGATGCTGAGATCTTTCATTTTTCTGGAATCGGCTCAACTTAAACGGCTTCCGAGATTTTTAATTGCCGTCTCCAGCCCGTCTGCGAAACTTGGAGGATAAGGATACACGTACGCCGGGAACGCGTTGGCAAAAAACTTCGTTTGCCTTCTGCATATCAACTTACCAGCCCGTCTGCGAAACTTGGAGTGCTCGCGGGGGAGGGGGGGGGGGGGAGAGAGATGGTGAGGTCTTTTCATGTGCAATCCTTTCCCACTTCTTCCGTCCTTGAGGAGGTATTAACGAGTTTTCAGTTTTTCCACCCTCCAAAAAGATCTAGGAATGCCTGCAAAGCCGGAAGTGGAGGGAACTAAAATCAGCTGTTCTGGTCGATACATGGAGTCGGATGCAATAAGTTCTCGAGGAGATATTCTCCGAATGTAATTTGCTTTGCTACATTTGCTACGTTCCAACCGGCCAACGCGAGGATCCACTAAACGAACGTAGACGACAGTCATTTTCCATTAAGGAATTTTCCCTTGAATCCCTCAAGATGATTACTATCGAAACGATCATCAGTGAAGAACGGTTTCGAGTGCTTCAGCACGAAATGGAAGTAAACATTTATCCACAGACACACGAGCTTCTCGAATGTGATGGATCGAAAAAGGAGACAGTCGCATTTCGACTGAGAATATCATAATGGACCTGTCGATGCGTAGACGACTTCAATTCATTAATCGACGTTATCTTCCGGTCCCATCGTTGAGTCTATACAACTACGAGAGAGTGGATAAGGAAGCGTGCATGGTCCTTTTCGTCGGGACCTCCCGTCCGAGCCGTCAAGGATGGACAATGGCGCCGGAACTCCACTTTAGCGAATTAGTTTATCGGAAGACCGAGAGGGAGAGGGAGGTCGTCGATGCGACACAAGTTCGACGGATCCGAGCTTCAGCGCTTTGCAGCCCCCCTCGCTTCTCGACCCTTCGGAGAATCCCGTCGAATGGAGGTTCACCCGGTCGCGATGGCCGGGGAAAAAGAAGGTAACTTTTCGAATTCTTCGTAGAGAATCCTCGTTTGATGGATTGGATGTGATAAAAAAATTTTTTTTCCAGACGTCAAACCATCTGCATTCCCGTCCGTGGGCTATTCCGTCCTCTGCGGAGGCCGAATTGGTGTCCGTCGCATTTTCTACTTCATTTTTCTCTCCATCGCGGTTTTCCTCTCCGTCGTGCAGGTACCAGGTGTTCGAAGTTGCATTGGAGGCCTTTTGTGAAATATAGGGAGTCCCAAAAGTCATTAATCATGGTATACGAACCTGCCTGAACAGATTCAGGTGACCAAATTTCATTCTATTTGAGCTAGAATGAAAGAAAATTGACCTGGCGATGGAAAACAACTAAATTCGGTCATTGTGTGATTCTGGCTCACTTAGATTAGATTTTGTAGCAAGGCCCCGCGGGCCTACCAGTATACAATATCGAGAAGATGGCTGGCCTCCGAACAGTTTAGTCAGGAAATAATATGATCAATCCCATGAGTAGTGACTTTTGGGGTCTCCTGTACGCTGCCCAATGGTAAAATTGCAGTTCGATCAGCAGTATTTATCGCCGTAAGTTCCTTGAGTTACGGACACATCATTCAGTCATTCAAACATCATTTAATCGCCTAATTTAAACGTAATCATTGGTATTAAATGCTTTAAACGTTCATGGGTGAATATAACGGGGACGGGTGGACTAGAAGGAGAGAAAAAGGATATTTCTCTGGTTTTTCTAGGAATTTAAAGAAATCCTTTTTTATGTTTCTGAGACAGGGGGAGATGGGGCTCGAAATGTTCTCTATTCCTTCCTTGGAGCCTTCTCGTTTCTTATTGGCTTCGTGTCATACCTCCTCCTCCCTTAGAGAATCCGACAAAGAGCATATGAGGGGCACAATATCGCTATAGCAACAGGGCAAATTTGCAGAATGATCTGCTAGTTTAGACCCAAGGTCATCCATACAGGCCTAGGGTTATTCGGGAACAACATACTGCTCGCGAACAGTTTATACCAGAGTATACCGGCACTTGATAGGCAATTCATACGAATCTCATACACCGTATCTTCCACGAACGACGGCAGGTGTGTCACATGTGGGACGTATACGCTTCGAATCCGACGAGCAGCCTGTTCAAGATCGAGACGAGACGAGAGATGGAGTCCCCGGCCTTCACCGTCTGTCCCCGACCCGGAGTCAGTGACTCACACCTCGCAAGAATGGGGCTGCACATCGGGAACGTCGCATCCAAAAACGCGAAATACATCCAGAGAGAAGTGGGGAAGACGGTGTACGACGTGTTCCGCGAAACCCGGGTGCGAATCCAAGACATTTGGCTCTTTTCCGTGGTGAGAGGGAACGGCGCTGACAAATTCGCTGACTGCAACGTCGTCAACGCCGTTTCTTACGATCGCCACGAGCGGGAGATTCTTCACACTCCTTGTATGTCGTGTCCTTCCCTCATATTCCAAATGGCAACGGCTTCCTATTGTTTGGGAAACCAGAATATAATACCTGCAGAATAATATTATTATTTTAAATTAAATATCGTCTTCGGGAACTTGGTCCGATGACTGCAGTCCTGAATCATAAAGGACTCCAGTAAAATCTATTTAATTTTGATTTTGATTTTCCCTTTCAATCATGCATTTTTGATTCATTCCCAATTTTGAGAGACTAATAAGTTGAAACTGATTAATTGGAATTATGGAATTGCTTCTGGAGACGAGTCTCACCAAAAACATCTAAAAACCTATACTGTCCAAGATATATCATTTACCAACCAGGATGAGATATGTGTTACTATCTCACAGAATTCTCCGGTATCATCATACTTTGGGATCGGGAAAGGATAAAGGATAAAGAATAAGGATTTCGATGATGTGGTCCGTGACTTCATCAAAAAGAAGTCGTGTTTCCATCCCGCACGTTCCCTCAAATGCTCACTAATACTTATTTCACGTTCCTCATTTTTTCGTCATACATTATTGAGCTTACTTCGAAATTCATAGGGACTGTCCCATAAGCACGGAACTCTTGACTTGAACCGGCATCTCTGTTATACGAGGCGAAATCGTTCATGAATCATGAGTTCCTCTTTGAGTTGCCCAGAAGTGGAACGGCTGAGGATGAACTTCCTCTCCAGCCTTTTTGCTCGGATGATTCTTCAAACTTATTATGCTTAGGCCTTGGGCTGATCGAGTTCTTTTGAATGCCCTTACTAAACATCACCTGGGGGTGGACAAGAACATTCCCCCTCCCCCCGGTGGATTTGGAACCAGGTGGACGTTCCATCGGGTGGAAATCCACCAAGGGGGACGTCCACCTGGTTCTAAATCCACCGGGGGAGGGGGATGCACATGTGGATTTGGTGGTATCTAGCCCTCATGGCCAACCGTGGCCACGAGGGCTAGACATTAGGCTGGATCTTCTCGTGATCTTACGTTCCTCACCAGTACGGAATCGTAGATCGCTAACAACTCCAAGGTCAAATTTATTTTTTTTTTTGCTGTGGGGACTCGGATCTTTCTTGAACCCGGAATGAGATCTTTGATTTCTCCGCACCTTTTGATAATAAAACTTACAACTTGTTTGAGGTGGTTTCAGTCTCTTTAGGCATGGCATATGTACAGTTTCATTCCTCACAAAAGAAAATGAGAAGACGATTTTTCCGATAGGGAGCAGAGTGTAAAAAGGGAACAGGTGCTATAGCGCCTACTAATTCACCTTCAAAGATGGATTCTTTACAAACATTCTTATTCGCAGTTTGAGAAGTTGAAATTTTGCCATATTAAGAAATTAGAGCAAATGAAGGCAAAATGGTGGAGGATCTCCATGAGGCAATTGCGATATAGAAGATTTTATCTCATGGAATTGCTGGTGGACTAAGATGAAACACTTCATGAATGTCAAAATCCTTTTATATTTTTTGAGCTAAGGCAAACGCAGCTTGATATTGTTAAATCATGCTGCCAAACAGCAGGATTCCTTCTTCTCGTGCCTTCAGTCTCCAAGGTGAATATTGTTCGGTGAATATTGTAAAGCGCATTTCCATCTGAATTTGTGGCCAAGGCCAAACTAAAACCCATCATATCCATCACAGAACAAACCATAGGCAGAAAATGAATTATAAACGTCTCTTTTCTAGGCGGGAGATGGGAAGAGACGTTGTTCTCATCGAGCATATTTTGCATGCTGGAGTTTTGCTGGTGCTATACCCTCTATCCAAACATCACCATGAGGATGGGTGCCGATTCCGGATTGATTTCTCTGTCCTTCAACACGACTATCCTGATGAATAGATTGGAGTCTCCGGAGGAAGTGAACGTGTTCGTGGACGACCCGAGGTCGGCTGGGACTGATCTCAGGTTCCTCACGTCGGGGAAACGCATCACGCTGCACGGTGGCAGTTCGGTTTTCCTCCACGTCTCTTTGAGGGAAATGCATCTCCTGGACAAGGCCAAAGAACCGTGCGACGATCGACCATCATATAGCCAAGTCAAGGTGGGCTGATAGATCGATGTCGCGTCATTGCGATGTCATTTGATCTCTCGTCGTACGTTTCTCTGCAGTATACGGTCGCAATAGTCGACTGAGAAGTGGCTTTTCAAGTCACAGTTAATAACATTTTTCAAGGCCATTACGTCGTTTACGCTTCTTGAGATATCTGTATGCGTTTTGATAGGTTCTGAATATGGGAGAAAGAATGAGGAAAGTCGTACTTTTATGTGCAGTGTGTATCGGCTTGTCTGGACGGTTTATTAATGGAGAGAGTGAAATGCGTGATCCCAGACATGATGTACGGTGAGAAAGCGACCGGCAAAGGGAAGCCCAAATGCAATTCCTCTGAGGAAGTGGGGGAATTCATGGGAAGAGTTTCTCGATTCCGCGCGGAAGCCGAAAGCGAACTTCGCAACTGCTCCTGCCCCCAGCCGTGTCTCCTCAGAGAATATCATCTCAGCCAAGTTCCTGGTTCCATTTCTCGCCTCACCTCGGATCCTCACCGAATTTTCCTTGACATCCAATTCCCCACCACCAAGGTATGCCTGTATGGAAACCCTTCCTCTAGCGACTCGACGTGACTCGATCCTTATTCGCTGGCAGGTGGAGACGTTCAAGGAGCAGCCAGCGACATCTTTGGTCGAGATCCTGTCGGAAATCGGGGGATGCGTCGGGGTCTGCCTCGGCCTATCCATTCTTACAGTATATGAGATCCTGGAAGTCTCGTTCTTCTTTCTTTGTTCTCGGGTCAAAGGCTTCTAATTAGCGTCTCATATGAAAATGATACTGAGTTCCTGGCATCCGCATCTAAGTGAGGTTATACTCCTCCATCACGATCGATCCTTCATAACACTGCAAGAACAAAAGATGCTCCAATTAAGAAAAAAATGGAACAAAATTTGGAGAAATTCTATGAGCTTGTAAAACTGAAATTCAAGGGATGTATATAGGTATCGAGGAAAAAAGTGCTATGGGGGAATACCTTCCACGTATGCTGTACGTTTTCTCTATAAATGACAGAAAAATAAAATATTAATCAAGATTTCGGGTCACTATTAACTAACCACGAATCCAGGTATGACTCTACCCATTTATGTCTCATTGAAGATCAGAAAGTCGAAGAGAAAGAAAGTCGTAAGTGTTATGGAAATATCAAGTTGAATTGAAGGTGATCCTTCTGCTTTCGCTCGCCTGCCAATAGCCTTCCTTGGAATCTTTGGAACATCGGGCATGGAAGGAGGTTGGGGGACGGCATGAAAACTCAGGTCGCGGAAGCAGGCAAGACATTAGACAGAGAACTGTCAGGTTTAGGACCAAGGTTTGTTTAGACGTGGATCGAAGGCCACTTCAATAACATTGCTGATCATTGTGTTTCAGGATTAAAGGGAGGAGTAGATGTGATAAAAACTAGTCATTTTCCAGCAATTGCTAAATTCTCTTTGGCCTGAGTGAGGACGCTATAAATTGAGTTCGTTATATATTTCACTTCGCGCAACGTAAATTTTATTCATTAACATGTGGTCCCTCTACAACTTTGTCCTGACCCCCAAAATTTTGACTCCTTTTGGGTGTCTGTAATAGTGAATCAGACGAATCTGCATTAAATTAGGTACAATGGAGGTTCCTAATTTTGAAACGTCATCTAGCCTATGACCATCCCCGGACCAAATGAGAAAGCCATGAAAAGTTTGGCTTGACTGAGATAAGAGGTGTGGCCGTGCATAAAAGACAGACAGACAGACAGACACACAAACACTCTAAAATGTAATAGTATAAATTCCATTTCTTGCTTGAGTCCGAGAGTCGACTATAGGCTGGGAGAAACTATATCAGACACATCCAGACTCAGGTCTCTGCAGCGTTTTAACAGTCCTCTCCCACACCATGACAATATCAATAGACAGCAATAATTGAAGCATATCATTGGTGACACTCTCCCACAAGAAAAAAATATCAGAAAAAGTGTCAGGTTCAAACTGGGAATATTACTGCCGCAGCTACCACGACCATTCCTTTCCTCATTCAATCGAGTGTTCTAATCTTTGAAGTATCGTCGACACAACCGAGGATTCCTCAGGTACCGACCAACCAGGACGACCTCGAGCGATGAAGCAGGGGATCTTATACTCTCTTGCCGACGAAGCTGCTTTGTTTATGTCAAAATTGTCCAGTGACCTCAGTACTTGAAGATGATGAGTCGCGCAGAATTTTATGGGGTGTTTCTCTGGCCGAGGCTTAGGAAAATACTCATGTTTTTTTGAACTTACCAATTTTTTTCAGAGGGTGCTGTACGTTTTTCGTTTTTGTTGATCTGGCGAGTGAGCGGTTGTTGAGATTTGTATCCGGAATTTGAATCAACTTGTCATAACGACCATGTCATTTATCCAAAATGGAGGTCACGGCGTACAGTTATTTGCTCGATTGAGCAATGCATACTGAATATATTTAAAAATATATATGCGTAGTAGAAGTTGCAGACTGTTTTATGAATGGTGTCAGCAACCGGCAGATAATCTCGAGGCCTGCAGAAGTCAAACAAAAACTTACATATTTCATAAGGCCTAGACGAGATCATCCATTGCCCCAGAAGTACAGGTAAGACCAAGTCACAGGCCAATTAAGCCAATGGTGGCCCAATCTTGAGTTTCTCCCACCATCTCGACTGGGATGTCTGCGGACAGACTGCCCCGTAATTCAAATGAACGTTGGACGCGATCTTCAGCATGGATATCCTTGTTTATGATGCCCCACATTCATCGGTCACTGCTAACCATTCTGTCGATCTTGCCTTCTCCCATTAACTCAAAACAAAAAGTTATCAAAATGCGAAGTGGAGGGATATCTACTAGTTTCCAACACTTCCAAGGGACATGTGTCCACTCATAACAGCATTGTTCTACTGATAATATTTGAAGCGCTTTCGTATTTTCGCTTCGCGGGGTTCGGAATAATCACACCTGCTAAGGTAAGCTTGAAAGACATTCGGTACCACCTCACTGTCCTGATTATAAACAGAAGGTTCAGGCCCAGACATGAAAGCAAAAGCATTCGTCGAACCGACATAACTCCATTACGACACTCGACGACAATGGTAGAAGGATTCAGCTGCCATTGGCTCATCACGGTGTGATGAATGTCTATGTGAAGTCACCAAAGCGCAAGTGCAATCTTACTACATTCGACAAAATAAAAACAGACAAGAGCGACCTGTAAAATATGCGTGACGGAGCATGGGAGGATTCCGGCTCGTCCTACCAAACTTGGCACGTGCTACCAAACTTTTCGCATGCTTACTCAGTCATGCATACTCATTGATTTCCGGATATTCTCGTCTTTACCTCAGGGATATAATGCACTCCTCGAGCAAATCTAAACGTGCTCGAGGGAGAGCATTCGAGAGAGCTTCCGGGAAATGCGTTCCATTGGTTTCGCATGGGCTTTTCTTTCTTAATCTAAACACTGTTTGCCCAATCATAATAGCGCTTGGTCCTTCCATAGCAAGAGTTGGACGTTTAAATTTTAATGCATCCATTTCCTCGATTGCGTTCAAGTCAGTTGAAACCAGAAATATGTATTTGCGGAAATTATTACCGATGAGGCAGCACAGGTTCCAGCTTCCAACGGAAACGAACATTTAATTTTGTAGCGCTATCAACATTGCAAAGAATTACACTTTCGGCGAAGTTTACACTGTGGTAGTTCATTTCTATCACAAAACTTAAAAGTCGGCAAAAATGAAACCTTTCTTGTTAGAACTGAAATTATGTAGCAGCGTGTAGGTAATGGCGCAGTTCGAGCCATTTTTGCCTCCTTCCCCCAGATCTCTGCTTTGCATTCCTCTTCCTTCTGGAATGCGACGCAGCAGGAAAAAGGAAGCATGAGGGCCTTCCAAGAAGAAATGGAACGACAGCCGTGGAACAGGCTCACGTCCTGAGCAAATGAGTGCGGCTGAAACGTCGGACGTCCACATTAGAAGAATCTTGGAATGGCTGAGAGAGAACTTCATTGTAATTTGTAGAAGCAAGAAGAGAGACCGCAGTTTTGTTGCAAAGATGAGTAGGATTTGACTGTTCGAATTTGAAAATTATATATATTTTTCAAGGTTAACTTCTCTCTTACGCCACTGAAGGACCGGTTCTTAACCCTTTCACCTGCTATGACGTGTCACGCCTGCTCGTCCTTCCCAAGCGTTTCGCTGGGTCTGGTTTTGGCTTTGCTTATGCCTTCACTGAATTTTTGTTCCAAAAACGGCGTATTTTGATGTAATTGATATTCATTTCATTATTCTTGAAAATAAATGGAATTTTCTGGGACAGAAAGCTAACGAAAATTCGGGACTAAAGCCGTTAATAAGTTAGGAAAATAGAGCGAGAAAATGAAATAAAATAAATAAGAGTGTAGCGTATCTGCAACGAAGCATACGTAAAAAAAAAAGCCGTGCCTTTACCATTTGTCATTTGTCGAAGTCATAATAGCCACTTGCTTTTCGCTGTACTTTCTCCAACCCCTGAACGTGAGACAACTAAAGATGAACTTAGGTAAAACCAAGGCTAATAAATCGGTTCGGGAATGAAAGGTTTAGAGAGGTCGAAGAGCAATCGTGGGCGCCGTTCAACTTCCTGCTATTGCTTTTCTCATGTTCACGTCTGTCGTTCCTCTGCAGGCGATTTTTCGAAGGATTATGGGCTGCTAAGCGACCGAATCTTCGTACGGCCTAAACTGATTCCTCAGTTTCGTCTTGGTCTTCTTTGGGTAAGTTCTTCTTTAGGTGTTCCCATTTTCGTTTCAGGTTGAATATTCGTTGTACTTGCAATATGATTCCTCTCACCTCCATCGGTCCGATTAATTTCTCCCATGAAAGGGGTTTTATTCGCTTGCGTGCTGAAGGTGAGGAAGAATTAGGCTTCTCCTTCTGCTCTCTCTGCAGCAGCCCAAAAATTTTCGCTGCACTGGCAGTATTGCGTTCACGTCTGTTTTCTTTTTCAGTCTTGCCCTGCCAACATTCCGGCTCGCGCCTGGTCACATTAGATAAGAGATCAGATAAACCCACGAGTAAGAAGAAGCGCAGTCGATTTCAGAAGTTTCTCGAGGAACTTTGGGGCATTCCAATGCAACTGCTCATCAAAGTGTCTCGATTCCAGGGAAAAGGAGGAGCAATCCTTCCAAAAAGCTTGTTTTTTTAAGAAAACAAAGGAGAAAATGGGAAAACCGGATAGGAACACGATCCCTTGGTTCCGAAGTTGGTCGTGTGTTGTCGCCATTTTGTCTGGAAATCCGGGGCAGATTCAATACATCATAGCATAGCGCATGTGCGCGTTTTGTTATGACGTCATTGCTGACGTCACAAAAGCGTGTACGCAGGGACTGTTTGCTGGAAAGAAGTCGTGCCATCAAACAGCCGATTTCCTTTGAATCAAGATTGCTAAGTTGCCATTCCAAATCATGGTAACTTGGATTTAACGCTCATTCCACGTCGGAATCGTCCATCGCATGCATGCCATCGAGATTACCGTGACCTCTCGTTAGCTAGTCGTAGCCCGTTCGAAGGCATGGAAGAATTTTAAATTCCACCCCCACCCCACCTCTCGCTACGTCACTGTCTGCCACCACTCAAAGGTGTCATATTCCTTTCTTGTCATTTTCAATCTCGGTATTGATGTGTACAAAGTTTACAAGTATCATGCAAGTATCTGGAGAGAATCTACCCCTCGAAATGAATTTCGGTAGAAGAAAACTTAAGGGAAATGTGAGACTCAGACGCG